CTCGAATTAAAAAAAAAAAAAAATGTGATAGGTTCACAAAAATATTTATTTTAAGTTATCCTTTTTTAACATATATTTGCAGTTTCCTCTATAATTTAAATTTTAGACGCACTTGTTGTTTTCCTATTAGAATTAATATATATTAAATTTATTTATACGCTTTAATTATTTTTTATTTACATAGATTAAATTTATATAATATATATAAAGTCAATTAAAATATCATCAAATAATTAGTTTGGTATATTATAAATACAAAATGAATGGGATATAAAAAAAAGTGATATTGTTAAAATATAATAAAGAACCACATTTAGTAATCCACATTATTAAGGGAAAAAAAAAGTAGGAATTGATTCTAATAATTAAAAAATAATAAAACGTTAATTACAGAAATTGCGATAGCTACTGAACAGGCGATGTGGGAACAAAACATAACCAGAATACATCTCACCCTGCAATCTGGATAAAAAGTTTGAAACCGTTGTGTTGATTTCGTCTTCAATAAAGACACCACCACAGGATATCGCCCGAAAACATCAAAACCACGAGAAAAATCGCATCCGGGACAATTAAAATTCTATAAATATTTATCATGCATCTAAATTAAAAATCGACCCCATTCATTCCCCCGCAAAATCTACAGCAAAACTACGTTACCAAACGAGCCCTTGAAATTTCGAATCTTACCCCCTCAACTTGAAGCCGGCCTTCCATGGTGATTGTTATCTTGCTGACTACCATCGTGTGGTGGTGGTGGTGGTGGTGGTGGTGGTGGTGGTGGTGCCCCACCAGGGAACATCCCCCCCATCATGGACCTAAAAGCACCGGATAACTCCTCTGGCAATTGGTTGATGTTGAAATTTACGCTTCCATCCATTCTTATTCCAGGCTCGTTGTTATCTGTGGGGGGCCCACCCTGAAAGTCTTGAGGGACAAAGTTCTGGAACAAGTCCGTGAAGTCTTGAGGACCACCGCCACCAATGTTGAAGGGCATGTATGGAAATTGAGGCTGGTGGTTTGTGGAAGTTGAACTCTGTGAGAAAGTGTTTGAATATGATTTACAAATATTGAAAAAAAACAATGTTATGCGCTAATGTGTCTTAATTTTCCCCTAATTATACAGCTAATGTGTAAAACTGTAATTTAAGAGTATTTTACTAGTCGAAAGTATTTACAAGAATTATCATAAGAGCCTATAGACTAGTTACGAAATGGCTTTCTAAAGAGTACATGTAAGTTTTAAACGATGGACACTTTTTTTTTTCCTTTTCCTTTCATTTCTCTACCTCTATGACAAACTTCGAAGTTAACACTTGATCTAAATGGCATATATAGTTAATCGGATCATCGGATGAGAATCCACAAAATGGTCCTACATCCAAAGTTGATAACTAAAATGCCAGATTTTATCTCGTGAAAAAGGTTTATTGTCCGATCAGTAATCTAGAGTGAGAATTGGAATTTCGGCATTACCTGACCGTCTTCATTCAGTTTTTGTACAGCAGCCTAAAATCAGAAAGAGAATGATATCACGTATAATAATCGTTTCAAAGAAATGTAACCCGAACTCTTCGGTTTCCAATATAAGGTTCTCGACTAACCCGAACATTCGCCTTTATCGATGTATTATTAGGATCCAGCACATGGGCTGCCAAAAAATATGATAGCTCTATTTAAAACCACAATTAAAAATAAAATTAAAAAAATTAAATAATGTCAAACTGAAAAATAATAGGTGGTCTCAAGTGAAATCTATTTTATGTAAGCGTAACACATTTGTTCTTCGGAATAACAAATAGAGGTATACATCTACCAGAAATGAACTACAATAACCAACCTTTCATATATTCATCAATTGCATCCCTATACCTTCCTTGAGAGTAATAAACAAATCCCAAGCGACTATAAGCCTTGCCGTAATGTGGATTGATCTCTATGGACTTCAGACAATCTTGAATAGCTTCATCATATCTAAGGAGCTGTGTATATGCAGCCGCTCTAACAATTTGGGAAGGAAAAAACTAATAAATAATAAAGGAAATATCATTTTTCGGAAGAATAAAGGTTATGTTAGAACCCCAAAAAGGTACGTCCTCAATTCTGATTTGAAAAACTTTGTAATCTGTGACATCCTAGAACCTGCCGGCCCCTTCTTAAAAATCGTTTAGAGCAATGGAGATCTTAAAGAATAAATAAAATCGAAAAACTGACTGACCTGTTGCAATAGTAAACCGCATTGTCTTCACATAGAGCAACAGCAAAAGTATACAGCTCAACTGCTTCATCGTAACGTTTAGACTGCACGAGCTTGTTACCTGCCAATGATGAAATTTGAATAAGCATTAAACAACCAATCCACGATAGAGGAATTTCTGTTCATTTTTAGAATACATGGTACCAGTAATGTACGGGAATTTCATAATTCATGGGAAAAATAAAAAAAATAAAAATATGCCAACGATATTTGAATTTCGGGCAAGACAGTGAGATAACCATGAAATGGAAGAAATAAAAAGTAGAAAGAGGAATTATTTTAATGATTCAGGTGCGTGGCAGGCTGGCAGCAGAAGAGAAGTTTCATTGTCAGTCAACTTAAATACTCTATTTCATGCATAAATAGATTGCTCCTATTTCCAGTAACACTTGCGAAAAAAGCTCAATTGTCAAAAGAGAAGTAAATCAGTCTGTGATACGCCCATGAGGACCGCTTTTATGTGTGCATGCGTGTGTGTGTGTGCGTGAGAGAGAGAGAGACGGAGAAGAAGAAGTACCCTGTGATTTAAAGGTCTCTGCTAGCATATTCTGATCAAATGTTTGATATCCTGTTTCTTCCATTTCCTGTTATAATGGTCCCACGGTAATGAGATAAAAGTTAATAGTAAAAATACATGAACTATGATTTAAGTCTTTTGCAGATATGATGATTCCTCTGATAATGAAGTACCTAATGCAAATTAAAGAAACTAATAAGTCACGACTACACAGCACAATAAAGTATGAGGCCAGCTTCACAATATGAAGGGTACAAATAGTAAGAATCTCAAAGCCGAAATAAAAAAGAACCTGTTCACACACGCACTAAATAAGCAACATATCAGTAATTGCTTGAACGCCTTCAATCAGAACAACGCACTCAGAAAATCACAATGTAAAGTTGGAGTTTGATTTCCATATCCTGAAGCTCATACCTTCACGGCATTATGAAATAAATGTGTTGTCCTATCGAGCTGGCCCTGGTCATCAGTACCATCAGACATCCTTCTAAAGTAATGAATCTTTTCAAGTGCACCAAAGAATTTCCCAAAGAGTTCATCTTTCCCTGTCAAGAGTCAACGCCAGATAAAAAGCCTATCATGTGAGCTAGAAGTAAATAAAAGGGGAAACTACTAAATGAAAGAATAATATGCTCTTTATATTAACTACTATGGGAGAATATCGAATGGTTGACTGGAATTGGATAAGAGCACGGTCAATCTTACCAGGCGAATGAGCCTCCCTTGTTCCACCTCCATCCTGTTATTAAGAAATATAAATTGAACTCAACTTAAATCCCATTTTCCAAATTTGATAATCGAAATTGACATTAGAGAGAGAGAGAGATGAAAGAGTAAATCGAAGAAGAACTGTACAGAAAGCTGAAAATATCAATATGGCTTTTCCAATTTGGGCAAAGCATTCTTGATTTATGGAAAATTAAGCGATATAAAAAAGAGCAGAGCGAGAAAAGAAACTCAAACAACCAGAAAAGAGGTCAAACAGCATATCTTTCATAATCCAACACTGAAAACAAAACACGGAAAATCACAGACGACTCGGGACTGATGATACAGACAAACCTCAACAACAACAGCATCATCCTTTCCTGAATATGAACCGGTCGCATCAAAAAACCCCCTATTTTCAACATCACGATCGGCATTCGCTTCTTGCAAGCTGAAAATATCTACCAACGACGGCTCAACATTCGACTTACTTATGGAAGATTGATCGATCTTAAACACTTCCGACAGACATTCCCTCGCCACATCAAGCGCCTCGCTATCAACTCCGGCCGACGGCTCAACTGCATACAAACAGATAAAACGGGAAAATCATGAACCCTAACATCAAGGCACGGTATTGACTCTGGTCAAATGAACTTCTCTGGAATCGAAATCGACTGTCGATGGTCTTTAGTCACGGTTCAGGTCAGCAAGCCATTGTTATGAGTGCGAATTTTTGTACGGAAAATCGAAAGCAGTGATTATGCGAGTCGATGAAAGGAGATAATAATGGTAGAAAAAGCTACGCTTTACCGGTGTTAAGGAAGTGGAGGAAAGAGCGGGCGATGCGCCGGGAGAGAGGGTCGTCGGTTTTCAGGGCCGCCATTGATGGAGGCCGGCGTTCGGACATAGCTGCGCACAAAAAATTTCTTACTGTAGTATTTGCTTTGGGGACGATTGGCTTCACTCGCTATTGAGGAAGAAAAATGGGAAGTGCAATATATTTTCCACAAAATTATTTGGTTGTATAAATAAAATAATCAATTGTTTTTTCTTTTCTTTTTTTTTTTTTTTTT